AATTATGCTCATAAAGAAGTCTAATAAATAAATTGAACAAATTATAATATTTCTAGACTAGTCAAGATTTATCTTTCTCCTACAAAACCCACATGCAAGGACCTTGGATCCCACATGCAAACCCCTCAAATTTACATGTAAATGCTCTAAAACTGAGTAAAGAAATTAAAATTCTAATCGATTAGAAATGTTCTCCTTTACTCTAGAAACAATAAAGCGCGCTTGGATCTAGAAAAAAGATGACAAAGAGAGTGAGTGGAAAATTTATGGACATATCAAAGAAAGAAGTTGTAAATATATGATGATTTTGTGAGAATAAAATTTGAATGATGAATTTTTATTTATTTATAACTCTTTTTAACTTAACCAACAAAACTTTAAACTTTACTCTCATTAAATCATATTTATTATTAACTCACTTAGATCATATCCTCAAATGTTGCGTTAGTGAAGAAGATACATTATTAAGTATTAGAAGTACATTGCTTGAGAGCAATTAGAGAAACAATATACTTGAATTTAGAATGATATCGTGAGAAATTAATGTTGAATATATATATATATATATATATATATATATATATATATATATATATATATATATATATATGATATATGTGAGGTTACGCGTGAATATGCAAATTAGTTTATTTCGTTTGATTCATTCCACGTTTAGTCGACAAGAAATAGGATAGAATAGATTAATCTACGTAAATATTGGCTATAGGTTGACTCGATAGTAAAATAAAAATTTTATATCTATATTAAACATGTAAATTAAGTGAATCTATATTATATTACCTTGTAAAATATAAACATATATCTTAATCATCAATCATTTATATTTTTCTATGAATCTTCTCTCATATTACATTGATAAAACATTAGCAAATGAACTAACAAATCATAAAAATAATAATAAGATAAATAATAATTTGTTAAATATGATACAATGAAGAGATACATAATAACTTATTAAATCTCTCGGTTAAAATTAAAAGTCTCTATACTAAAGTTCAAGGAATCAAAATATTTTATAATTTTTACTAACAATACAATATATATGAAAATATTTATATATTATTAATTTTCTTACATAAACATATACATTCACATCACTCATGTAATAAAAAGATTAAAATATTGTTTTTTTCAATGTAAATATTTGATATAATGTTTGAAACTATTATTATAAAGTATTTAAACTCATCTATTTACTATAACTTAAACAAGAGACTCTTTATCTTCATTTCGATAATTCTTAACTTGCTTGTTTGACTAAATTATTTATATAACATGACTATTTATTTTAACTTTTTTCTTTTAACTTTTATCATATTAAACATTATTATTTTTAATTTTATCTAAAAAAAATAGACAAGTAAGAAATAAATCCTATTTTATTGAGTTTTTTAAGTTTTTTTACAAATAAAATTTGTGCAATGTAACATTGACAAATTTTTAAGACAACATTTTTTCATTAAAGTTTATAATATTAATTACATTTTTATAAGGTTAAGGATTCTTCTTTCTTCTACTTAATATTTCGTAATTGTTTTTGGTGAAAACTTTTTTCTAACATTTTTTTTGTTTAAATTAATAAACAATGTATATCTTGTACTATTTATAAGTTTCAAATAAATTTTTACCTAATTCTTACTAAAATTCTAAATCTTCTTCTCACATGATTATCACCTAATTTGTTAAAATAACCTAATTTAACTGAATTAGAAAAAAAGATTTTTGGTACAAATTGTATTATCAATAATTTATTACCGTAATATGGACAAATGAGATAAGATTTAAGAGGTAAAATGAGAAGAGAAAAGGATGAAGATGTAATGGCGATTTGATGACCAGGAATGAGGACATAGAAGGAAATTAATTAAGAGTGATTGTGGTGAGGCAGATAAAGAGTTATTTAAAATTAAAATATAGTGGCATCACATGGGAGGCATGTGATCCTTGGGTTATGTGTGTAATACCAAATCACTGTACTCTCTCTTCTATTTCTTTTATTATTTTGAGATTTGGAATGCCAATGCCACCGACCTTAACTGTCCACTGTCTCCTTTCTCATTATCCATAAATTCTGATCTGAATTCAAAATTTGAATTCAACCAAATCCCACACAATATTTGCAGCAAATGCTTGGTAACTTGAGCTTTGCTAATAACCTACTCCTTATCAGCAATCACTAGTGCAGGGCAGAATGAGTTTTTGTGCGTCATCCAATTTGTATTAAAAAAAACAACGCTATTTTCGTGTCCGACCTGATAGAGATCAATGTAAAATCGATTTCTCCGTTTATTCTTATCAAATCTGACATAAAAAAACAAAATTTATCTCAAATTATGTTATAATTAATGTAAATTTACATTACATAAATTTATGTTTATTATAGTTTAATTTGACGTAAATTTGGTATTTTTTTAATTTTTTTGAATCTTTTAACATCTGTTTCATGTTTTGTCTTGGGTAAATTAATATCAATTCTAAATATAATTGATATTGACTAGAGATAAATTTACGTTTTTATATTAACAACGTAGAAAAATTTAAATAACATAGCTAAATAAAAAAAATATTTTGCCCATGTCACTCAAAATTAATATATATTTTTTTATATCTAATAGTTATTTGAGTTTAACTTTCGTCCCAGTGAAAACATATATTTAATATATATATTATAAAATTTTAGGAGAATTTGAGAGTCATTCTCCTTCCCCTCCCATTAAACTCTATATTAGATTTTTCGTTTTTTGTTAAGTTTTATCCTCTTTGAAATATTTTATATTTTATTATGGCGAATGATTCCAAGGAGGAAGTCAGTGAAATTATAAAATGTTTTTCAATTAGTTGTTTGCAGGCATGGTAGGAGCCACAGGTATGAATGGTAAAACGGGTCCGTGTGTACGTTTTGGTGTGTTTTGTCTTTTACTCGCCAAAATAGATGGATGGATTGATCTCGTAAAAAGGTCTGGTAACGGATTAATTCGCTGACATTTAAAAAAAATAATTTATTTCTTAAAATAAATTTTTAAATAAATTTAATAATAAGATTATTATTTATTTATTAATAATTCAATATATATATATATATATATATATTATTTTAATTTAATAATATAAATTAATATATTATTTTAATAAATTATAATTTAAAAGAATAATAAAATTTACATAATAATAAATAATAATAAATATATATATATATATATATATAACGTTAAAATTTATAAATTTTATATTTTTTATATTGAAAAATTTAAATATTTATATATTTTTTATTTGATAAAACTTCACATTATTTTTGGTTGAATAATTTTTATAGACTTTAATTTAAGTCATAGGGATAAAAATAACCAAGTCTTAAAGAGAACAAGAGAAAAAATGTTGTGTTTTAATAAAAAGAATATTTTATATGAGAGTGAAACTTTTTTAATTTTCCTTTTTAAAATTTTAATTTTATATACTATTTTTATAATTAACTTTATTATAATAAAAAATTATTTTTTTATTAATTAAACGGTTTACTTCGGTCTGCTTCGTTTCGCATGTTAGTCCGGATTCACAAATTTGGCATGATAGACTAAAACGGACTAACAAGCTGAATACACCAGTATAATCTGAACCGTTTTGTCATTCTGACTACAGTGTACTAATTATTTGGTTGTAAGTGTGCTAATTATTTGGTTGTTTGGATTGGATGAGGAGCAAGGAAGGATGGGATTGGAGTTTTGGTGGTATTCACAATTATGAACTGCCAGTAGCTTCCATACGCACAATTCTGCTCACATGCATGGACAAGTCTTTATTATTATCCAAACAATGTCTACAAATTTCATAAAAGTATTAGAGAAAAACATAGGGAACATAACTTCAATTTTCTCACTATTTGTACATCTAACATAACATTTATATGATCTGAGTTCTTAATTTTTAGGACACAGTTACTAAACCCTAATTAATTTACACTCTTTGATTGTGGTTTATTTTTATTATTATCATATTAATCATGAGAAAGTTATGATATGACGTTAGTCACTAATTTTTTATATTCTATTTTTTTTAAGAGTATAATTTAGTAAATATCATGTTTTTTAATTTTTGGATTATCAAATCTATTATCTTCTATAATTTCTATAATATATGAGAAAATAAAAATTTAAAATCATATAACATATTCTGAATATGTGAGAGTAACAATAATTCTAGAAATATATCTTATTTTTTAATTTTTTTAATCTCCCTTTCTGTATCTCTTCTTGCTCCTTGTATTAATCTATGTCCTCTAATAAGTTCATGATCCATGACTTCATCAGTTAGTGACATTAAATTAATAAACAATAATAATACTTAAAAAAAATGTCGGTGGATAACAGTTACTAAATTGAATAGTGGTCAACTTACTACTTTTATTCGTTGGCTAGTATTAGTTAAAACTAATAACCATTATTAAATTTGATTCGATAAATATGATAATAACTTACATTATCATGTTTATTTTGTCTCTGTATGTTAATTTATCAATTATCATTTTTCATAAATAAATTACTTTAGTTTAAATTTAAATGATCATTATTCATTTTCTAATTTTTTTTATAGAGATGAAAGATAGAAAGTTACTAATAACCAAATCACTCACTCATTTGCTCTTCATACAAATATTATGTTTAAAAGAACTAAAAAATTATTAATATTTCTACATCAAGAGTTAGGTTTTTAAACTAAAGAATTATAGTTTCAATAAATTAATAGAATAAATAAAAAGAAAGTTATGATATAGAATTTAGATTTACACTTGGATTACTCAATATAAATTGTGTAAATTTCTTCTTTCTCCACTTCTATTTTTTTATTTACAAGACAAATCATCAGTGCATGGTTAACATTCTACAAGAATTGAACTCTTGCATTTAACAAGATTGAAAGAAGAATCTACAAACATGATCTAAAATAGTGTTACAAAAATATATTATAACTTACTAGAGTTTCTCCTACCATTTCACATCCAGCGTAAGAGGTTCTGGCGAAAGAAAAACAGGTCTCAACTTTGTATATGACATGTTGGACATCAAATTGGCCCACGAAATCGAAACAGATTCAATAGAAGGTTTTAATTTCTTGATTGAAAGAGGCTTGAGCCTGTTTTCCTCAACTCTGGCCAATATCTCAAACCAAAACCTTTCAAAACTAGGCCTTGTTCTCCAATCAGGAATAGTACGACTAAGAGTGACATTATTCCTTATGTCTCTTTCTAATTCTAAGGGGAACTTTACAACAGCTGATGCTTTAATATTTGCTTTGAGAAGGCCAAAAAGCTGACCTTGAAGTATCTTACGGCCAAGAAGACTCCTCAAAACCTTCTCCAAAATACTTAATTTCAAACTTAAGGAATCGATTGGACATGCTCGCTTTCTAAACATATGACCGTAGAAACATTTTTCTGGAAGCAGCTCAATAGCATCATCTGAAATCAATGTAGTTGCTATATGTGCAGTAGGATTTCGAGCTCTATAAGCAACCAAAGATGCAGACCCTGATATGCGTATGGGAATCAGAGCCATGCAAGTTGAATGCAGAAAGGGCCAACGGTGACTCTTACCCCCATTACACATGGCGCTTCCATTCATTTGCAGATCAAGATCATAAGAGTTAAAAAGAGAGATTTCTTGAGCTCCTTTAACTTCTACTGTAATACCCTCACCAACAAGGATTTGTTTCAAACCAGTGTACGAAACATTCATCTGCGAGTCAAAGTCAGAACTCAAATTTCATTGAATTATCAAGATCACTAGTTATCCGTAGGAATTAACTTTAACAAATCATGGATTGCTCAGATAAAAAAAAAAATCATTTAACAGTATCAGAACAAATCATCAAATTTGCCAACAGAACTAAGAGCAGAACATCCTAATCAAAAAATAGCAAACTATCTTCAACTTTTGAGACATCACTAGCTACAGAAGAAAGATTTTATGTTAAGCTGTTAGCAATAAAAAATCTGAAGTAATAGTCAAGGCTACAACAGAGACACATAAGAAAAAACAAATTGTCCATTGTCATCAACACAACTATTGTTATATCAGTGGATGCATCAGTGGTGAGAAAATTGAATCTTGACCATACCTCCATATTTAGATGGTCAAGATTGTTATTATTAATTTTAATCATAATAATCTATTTTAATTATACAGATGATATTTAGTACTCAATACTTTTTTTTGTCCTGTCAAGGTTGCTCCTAGTTCATTGGACTAGTCACCGATCCTCTTGTGGTATTATGGCTGTGGCTGACTCACTCACGATACTCCTCTCAATATGTACACAGAGACATGTATACAAGTTAATGGTGTATGCATTGACCATGTACAGAGTTTCTATAATATCATTCCAATGGTATATATCTCAACCAAAGTGATGAGATTAATCCCTGCGAGAAAGTCAAGTACCAATTAATATACAACTATTCTACCTATATATTGTTATACTCGCAGAACTAAGAATCAAACTCCTGATATATGCTTAAAGGATCCAAGCTACCAGCTTCTTGTGACACACGTTGTGAGTTGGTAAGTTTATTGACTTTTACGATATCCACTTAAAAGTCATCTCAATGGTGATTCCTAATCGGTTAGTGCATAAAAAATTAAAACTTCTCCCCACGTGTTCATGTGTAAGTTTTTTGTTCGTTCCTGGATAAGAGTCCAGCAATCGAATTCGAACAAACTATAAAATCCAAAGGAACAAAAATAAAGAAGAAAACTTTAAGACGTAGCATACTGAGATCTAAACTGAATAACAAAAAAATTGCTTACGGTAAGAGATAGCGAAAGGTGGTGGAGGGAATCGACCCGCAACGAGAAGGGACCTTCCAATTTGAGTGTGTGAAGGACTGGGAAGGAACCGAGACGATGAACAAGCGAGGGTAAATCGAGAAAGGGTGTTCTGAACTTGTTCCATGTAGCAACTTGGTCGGCGAACTTGAGGCTGAAGTTATCAGTGCCCAATCCGATTCGAAACTCATAGCTCTGAGAAGTCCCGAACCTGACCTTTCCGATATCCAACTTGGCCACTCTCACGTCATTCGAATCCCACTTCTGTTTCGCCGACACCGCCCTCAGAACATCCTTGGTTTCCACGAATCGTAATAATGAACAAAAAAAATTCGGAAAATAAAAAACAAAATGGGATTGAAAAAGTGGTGTGTGTGCGGGGGGTACCTGGAGAATGTGGGTGAGGTTGGAAGAAGATGCAAAGGCGGTGAATTGAAGGAGAAGTATAAAGAAAGAGAGGGGGAAACGAGATGTTATCATCCTCGATGCGTCGACGGCAGATACCTCCGACGAGAGCAGAGGTGTCGTGATGGGAACTACAGCGTTTCTCCCAGATTCGTAAGTTATTTGGGATTAGTTTAAGTTTGAAGTTGCGTTTGGGGGAGGAAAGGTTAAACAAATTGTTGATTTATGTGCTTAAGAAATGTTGTTTGTAGCACTAATAATAATAATAATAATTATTATTATTATTTTACTTTTTATTTATTTTTATTCAATCATATATTTTAAATATCCTTTACCTTTCTATTATATAATCCGAAAATCCTATTTAGTACAATAAGTTCATCTTTCACTAATGGATATGCAATAAACAGTAATAAATATAAAATATCATGAACGGCTAAATCAAACCCATGACAAATCCAATAAACTTATATTTTGGAAGAACTAAAATCAATGCATTTATATCACAAATTCTTGCATTATTAAATGTTGCCACTACCAAATTGGAATCTCTTTCCATCCAAAATTTTTGTCCAAACTCTACAATAAGCATTTTCAACGCATAACATGGTATCCTCAAGTTCAACATATAAAGCAGTAGTCATATCAGTAAAAGTAGAAAACCACCCATGAATTCACCTCAGGAACTGCGAAAATACCCTAATTAGTAGCCAATCCAAAAGACTCCGATGCAACACCATCAATATTGATTTTGATCACACCTGTTAGGAGGTTATCAAACAACAGGGATAACTTATTCAAATTTGGAAGGATGAATCCACTGTTGAAGTGTTAAATAATTGGAAATTCTCAAATATTATTTTCTGTAACACAATTACAGAAAAACTTATTTACCTTTAAAATTTAATATGGTTCCTCATTTTTCAAATGATCCAATCAATATCATAACCACATTGAGAGCTAAATTTCATGTAAATAAAATCTTAAAATTGATAATTTTTATACGTTAAATGGAAATAGAATATGAGTACATTTTTTTCATATTACAGGTCTTTTAGTGTTTTATATAAATTATTTGAGTAAGATAAGAATAAGATTTTGTTTTTTTTAATTTTTGTTTTACTTGATAGAAAATTAGAAAGCGTATTATTAGGTCATAAATGAGACATTTTTGGGTTAGTGGATATTAATCCCAAAATGTTATTCCATCAAATAATAGTTATTATCATAAATTATTCTTATTTTATATAGTTACCATTTAACTTTTTATTATTAAATTATTTATTTTCTCTTTTAATAAGTCATATGCTTATCACATGAGATATAAAACTTGCATTCTCCCATTTAACTCATCTGACATTACATATCTTATAAATAAAATAACATAATGTGCATTAAAAGACTAAATAACTCTTTAAATTGGGTACATTATAATTTCATAATTAAGAGTAGAGACCAATTTGAGTCATGGTTGTATGTCACTCAATTGACATAATCCCTTCCATATACAACAAATTATACTTCTTTTTATTATGAACATAATTAAAAGCTCATAATTGGGCCAACATAATGTCTTTATTCAAGACAATACTTGATTATATTACTTTAACACAATTATATATGCAAACATAGAAAACAGATAATCAGAAACATATCATAATTGAGCTCAAAATGTTAATCGTTTAATACATAATAAATATAATACTCAATAATCATTTCTAATAATAACACTCATGTTTTCAACATGTTTAATAAATGTTTTAGGTAGTAATTCATTTGTTAAATGGTCAACTATCATAAGATTTGTTTTAATATGTTCTATTGACAATATTTGTTTATGAACCTTCTCCTTTATGACAAAGTACTTTAACTTCATATGTTTAACACCTTTAGAGTACTTGTCATTTGCACTTTTCCACAATATTGCTTCTCCGTATAAAAGAAATATATAGCCAAGAGTGGATTTTATTGTATTCACACATCCAACATAATCAGAGTCTTAATATCCAATTACCTCAAGATGATTAGACCTCCTAAACGTAAGCACATGATCATTTGTTCCCCGTAAGTATCTCAGAACTTTCTTTGTAGTTTTTCAATGTTCCATTCTCGAATTACTTTGTTAACTTCTTTACATTTCAGTTATAAAGTTTAGATATGGTTGAGTACAAGTCTGAGCATACATAATCCTCCTAACAACATATGGGTACGAAATTGCTTCTATTTGTTTTCGTTCAAAATCATTCTTAGGACATTGAACGAGACTAAACTTGTCTCCTTTCTTAATTAGAATAAGTGATGATGAACATTTTTCTATTCTGAATCTCTTTAATACTTTATTGATATATGTTTTATGGGATATGCATAACATTTCTTTCTATCTATTCCGAAATATTTCTATTCCTATCACATAACTTGTCTTACTCATATCTTTCATTTCAAAGTTATTAGAGAGAAACTTCTAAGTCTCATGGAGAAGACTAAGATCATTAGTTGCAAGTAAAATATCATCAATATAAAGAATAAAAAATATAATCTTACTCTTACTGACCTTTGGATATATACATCAATCAATATTGTTTTCCTTAGACCGAAAAGAAACAATGATATCATTAAACTTCAAATACCATTGGTAGAAAGCTTGCTTAAGTTCGTATATTGATTTCTTTATTTTGCACAATATGTGTTTCTTCCTTCAACTAAGAACCCTATTGATTGGTCCATATAAACGTTTTCCTTTAAATCTCCATTAAGAAAGACAATTTTCACATCCATCTAATGTAGCTCCAAGTCATAATGGGCTACAAGTGCCATGATATTTTTGAAAGAATCCTTTCATGAGATGGACGAAAAAGTCTCTTTATAATCAATGTCATCTTTCTAAGTAAAATCCCACTATTTTCACCATTATCAATGAACCTTGCATTTTCAGTTTGAACAATTCTTATACTATGGTTAGAATAATAAAACATATACCCATTTGACTTATTTGGATAATTAATGAAGTATCCACTTATTATTCTTGTATCCAGTTTCTTTTTTTTTTGCGGATTATAAAACCTTATTCCTACCTGAAAACCCCAAACATATAGGTACCTTATACTGGGTGTCTTACCAGTCCACAGTTCAAAAGGTGTCTTTGGAGCTACCTTATTAGGAACCTTGTTCAACATATACATGATAGTTATTAAGGCATACATCCACAAATAAATGGGTAAAGAAGAATTGCTTAACATATTCCTCACCATGTCCATTAATGTTTTATTACACCTTTCTGATACATCATTTTGTTGTGGTGTACCTGACATTGTGTATTGTGCACAAATGTAATGTTTATGAAGGAGTTTAGCAAATGGACTTGGTGTTTCCCAGTCTCATTGTATCTTTTGTAATGCTCACCACCTCTATTAGACTTGACAACTTTTACCTTTCTGTCTAATTGTCTTTCGACTTCATTCAAATAAATTTTCAAGACATTCACTATGAAGTAAATAAACACAACCTTAATGTTAATAGTCATCAATAAAGGTGATAACATATCTTTCCTTGGTGTAACATCAAAAGGCCTTAACATGCACGATTTCAAGAAGCTGACTACTACTTGTAGCCCCTTTATTTATGTTTTTTGCTTGTTTTCCTTTTATACAATCCACACAAATACTTAGGTCAGTAAAATCTAGATTTGAAAGAATTTCATTATTTATTAATATTTCCATCCTTTCTTTAGAAATGTGACACAAATGTTTATGCCACAAGAAAGCGGAACATTCATTCACTAAATTGCGTTTAGTGTCAAAATTATGATGCAAAGTTATAAATGTTTCTGTATACAAATCATCCAAATTCAATTTATATAAACCACCACAAATAATATCAGAGATGATTATGCTTAAATAAATTGAAACATCCATTACCAAAATTTAAAAAGTATCTAATAACATAAAGTTTAGATAACAAAACCAAATTTCTAGATAAATTAGGTACATAAAGAGTTTCCAATAAATATAAATGATGTCTAGTGTCAAAGATTAAATGATAAGTCTCGATTGCTTCCACTGGAGCTTTCACTCTATTCCCCATGACGACAAACTTTTCATTTGATCTTATGATTTGGATTGTAAGGAATCCTTGCATCGTATTATAGATATGAGTTGTACATCTAAAATCAATCCACCATGTATTATGTGTAACTTCAGTTAAATTTGATTCAAAACATACATAACCATTAAACTTACCTTTCTTTCCAATCCATGCCTTACATTTTAGGCAATCCTTTTGGAAATGTCCAAATTTCTCCTAGAAATAACAATTACTACCCTTTGATGCTTTCTTTTAAATTTTCACAGATGTCTCATTAATCTTTAGTGACTTTCTATCCTTATTATGTTTCTTCATAAATTTCTTTCTAGCTCCTTAATTCCCTTGGTGACTTACATAATGAGTTGAGTTACTTCCTTCATTCTTAAGCCTTGTTTCTTCTTTAACCAACATATTGTATAATTTGTGCACATTCCATTTATCTTTCATGCTATTATAGCTCATTTGAAACAAACCATATTTAGATGGTAATGAGTTCAGAATAAATTGTATTAAGAAGTTTTCATTCACAACAATTCCCAAGGTCTTAAGTCTTGCTACAATATTTGTCATTTCAATAACATGGTAATGCATAGTACGTGATTCATCATATTTCATGGTGGTTAGTGTACTTATTAATATCCCAGCAAGAGACTTATTAGCTATTTGGGAGTGCTCTCCCACTAATCTCATAAACTCTTTAGCACTTTTAGTTTTTTTTTGGGGAGGGGGGTTGTCTTAATATTATCAACGACAACCATTCTCATGAACATTAAGTTGAATATGTTAGATCTTTCTCAAGCTTTATAATGAGTTTGTTGTTCATTGCTGCTAGAGTCAGTAATAGTAGTAAATTTCTTTTCCAATATGGTAAGATCAAGATCCATAACACCAAGGTGAAATTGGACTTGCTCATTCTAATAAGAGAAGTTAAGCCTATTAAAAACTGGTAGAGACGATATATGAGAGTTCATTATGTTAGGAACTGATACTGCCTA